CCGGGGGGAGCTTTTCTGTTTGCTTGCTCTGCGCAATCGTCTCTTCATTCTAAGGGGTGCAGTGCCTGTGTCCCAGCTTTCTCCTCCATTCCATTACCTCTGCTCGGATCAGGCGGTCAGTCAGGGTGCTTGAATTTGTACGCAGTGGCTTGTCGCGGCCTTTCTGTAGGGGGCTGACCCCACAGGGCTAGCGTTAAGACCACATTCCAGCTTTGTAGTTTAGAAACGCCTGAGAAGGAAGTGGAGAACAGGCCAGTTTCACTCTTTTTACAACTATGTATATTGTTCAGGTGAACTGAAAATGCCACCTCCTTGTCATCGACTCTGACGGGGACAGTGCCAGGCGCTACTCTTCATTTTCTTACCCTCACCTGGGCATGCGTGCCTAGCCCAGGACTGAGGGGTTTTTAGAGCCCACTTGCATAAAATGTAGACTGGCAAGACACTTTTATAGACAAGGAGACAGAGACCCAGGGAGGATATTAGACTTGCCAGCATGGTTGGAGCAGGCCTGAAATAACTTTGAAATTTTGAAAGACCAGGATTTGAACCCTGGATATTGAATTGTGGATTTGAACAAATATCTTCAGCTATATTCCAGGAATAAGTTGTATTCTCCAACATGTGGGTTTTATGACCTAATAAATTTGGGAACCATCAGGCTGAACAGAGTTGATTTCTTTACTTCAAGACCTCTCAGAACGTAAGATACGCCGATGTGTGTGTGACCACCCTGAGGGACATGCAGTGTTCCCTAAATTTAAAACCCCAGATCACAACTGGCTGCATCTCCGTTTTCTCATCAGCACATAAAAACGTGATAGGTTTGCTATCATGGGGAAATGAGATAAAGGGGTACAGGAAGTGTTGTATTTGCTGTCTGGCTTACAACAGATGCTCAGTCAGTGATGGGACCTTCCCATCTAAGAGAAGACTGACAAGGATTTTGACTCTGCTCTGCTCTCCACAGACGGCTGAGTGACAGCCCCTCAGTGAGGAAGGAGAGTGAGCTGCCGCGCAGGGCGAATCCCGCCTCATCCGGCCCTCCTGCTGAAGTGGACCCCGACACCATCCTAAAGGCGCTCTTCAAGTCCTCAGGGGCCTCTGTGACCACACAGCCCACAGAATTCAAAATCAAACTTTGAGCGGGGGAGTGAGGCAGCCAGAAGCAGGGGTGGAGGAGGGTGGCTTGATTTCCCAAAGCAAAGCTTGTGACCAATGGGCCGTTGGACTGGAGGCCCCTGAGCGTGGGAAGGCTCGCCAGGGGTGGGGAGCTCCCTCCCTGGGTGCTCCACCACCCCCGTATTGTGTTCTGCTCTCTGCTCTTCCGTACGTTAACAGTTCCTGTAGTATGTTTGTTTCTTCTCCCTCCGCCTCATCACCAAGGTAGGCTTGTGTTGCTCAGAGTGTCCCCCTAACCTTAGCCCCAGAGTGATCTCTTGTCTGGGGTGGTTCCCTGAATTCTCTGGGCGGCTTTCTCGCGGCACTGCAGAATGCAAGGCAGGGGCTATTTGAAGGATGCTGCTTTCTCCAGGTGGGGAGTGGTTGCTTCCCTTCCTTTTTTGAAAACTTTTCACACAAAGCAGGAAATGGAAGCCCCTGCCATCTAAATGGGGGCTGCATTAGCTCAAGAGCTTTGCTATTTAACTGCCTGGTCAGTGGAAATGGCCTGGATGGGGATCCAGTCACAGGCCCCTTGTCCTCTTGTCTGATCTGGAAAGGGCCCTGCGGGAAGGGTGGGTGAGGCTGCTGCCCTGCCAGGAAGAGGGCGCGCCTGCCAGTCCATGCCATTCACATTACCCTTTCCCTTGGGCTATACCAAGGGCTCCACCCCAGATCTCATGGCCGCCTGGGTGTCACTGCTGCGAGAGTCTTTGTGTTGTTAGCCCTCCCAGTTCTCAGCACAGCACTCGCCACACCCTGGTTTGGGTGCAAATGCCAGCTCTCTACTTGGGTTTTTCAAAGTGTCTGCCTTCCGTCCTGTGATACAGTAGGTCGGGGGGCATATTTGAACGGGAGACAGGCTTGCTCCTCGGTCTTCATTTCTGGCCTCATGTCTGCAGGACAGTAGTCAGAGATGCTGAGACATACATCCAGCTGCCACCAGGGGGTACTGGCCCCACTATTTTGAGTGTCCATGACCAGAGTGGTATTTTCCTGCCGGGGCAGTGCAAGGAGGGAGTTAAGAGAGCAGAGCAGCCCTTCTGGGTAAGCTGCTAAGTTCCCTCAGTATGGTTCCAGGCAGTTGGGGCCAAACTGTAGAACCCAGGGGCACCCCTGAATACCAGGACAGTGTTGCTCCAGCATCATTCTCAGTCTCCTGCTGGTTTTGGGGGGGCTATAAAGGAAATCCAGGCTGGCAGAGCCGGAGCAATTTGGGCAGCAAGAGTCTGGGAGCTCTACAGTCAGTAGTAGGTGCTGTGAAAGGCACAAACCCAGAAAGTAAGGAGGACCTGAGACAGCCTTTCACGACCTGTGTGGGGCCAGCCCAGTGAGGACAAGCCTGGAAACATGTTTCCACAGAGTTACGTCTGTCAATCAGGAAGGACCCAGGGTTTAAGACAGCCCAGTCCTGGGATGTCTAAGGAATGTGCCTGATGGTGCTCCACTCTCCAGTTCTTTGAAGAATGCTGCTTTTGTTCCCTTCTGCTCCTTTGAACAGGTGCAAACGTAATTCTTCTCAGCAGCTGGAAGGCATTCCTCCTATACTTTACCCTTCTTGGCCCCAGAGAGCACCCATAGACAGTAGGACCTGGTTTTCTCAGGTACTGTGGACAGTCAGATCACTGCTTGGACTTTGCTTCAAGTAGGGATGGTAAAACAGCCTGACTGCATGGCTTTACCCTCCCTTCCCATTCCCCTTGTCCCACACCAGGCTGCTCTGCCTATCACAGAGTTTCACTGGGCCCAGCTGCAGCCCCCTGACTATCTGGACAGCCGTATGGTGCATGGCAGGGTAGAGCCTGTATGCCTCCCCCGCTCTACAGGATGTTATCGTGGAAAAGGGAGGAGAAGGTGGTGGGCCATTCCTTGTTCCCTCTACCTACCACTTCCCTACATTCCCCATTTGTGTCTTGTTCAAAAGGAGAGGAGGAGGCATGAAGGGATGAAGGCGGCTTTGTGTTATACCCATTTCTGAATAAACGTTTGTTATTCCTACCTTTAAGCTGTTATTTATTAAAAAGATCCTGCTAAGTGACCTTGGGGGTCTTGGCACGGACAACAGGAATTTGCCTTTGCTTCACTACTGAACTGCTATGACCTTGGGGAGGTTCCTCTTAGAACTAACTTGTGGAATCTCAGCCTCCACAGCTGGGAGAACATGAGCCTTAACATCTGGAAGCACCTGGCTTAGTGACTCCGTACCTCCAGGGCCTAAAGCACCTCAGTGGGTGTTAAACACAGTCAACCCCAACATAGGTCTGTTCATGGGGCCCAGGAGCCTGGCCTTTGCCTTCTTTGAATAAGTTAAACTCATGGGTGAAATGTATCTTTTATGTCAAGTATGCATTCGAAAAAAATTGTTGATACTTGGGATTTTGTGTGTAGTAAAATAAACCTAAATTTACCATCTTCACCGTTTAAAATACAGTTCAGTGGTATTACGTAATGTGCTGTCACCACCATCCAACCTCATAAACTTGTAGAATTGAAACTAAACAACCAGGTTCTTCCCTCCTCGAGCCCCTGGTAACTGCCATTATACTTGCTCTCTGTGTGAGTTTGATCACTCACATAAGTGGAATCATACGGTATTTATCTTTTTGTGACTGGCTTATTTCACTTAGCATAATGTCCTTGAGGTTCATCTGTGTTGTAGCCTGTTAGAATCTGACGGCCTCTCGCCACCTCTCCTTGCTGCTGCCCTGGTATCCCCCCTCCTTTGCAATATAGCAGCCAAGGTGACTGTGCACTCATCACCCTTCTGCTCAAAGTCCACAGTAGCCCCCATCATAGACTAACAGTGCTTTTGGGGATGTGCCTAATCCCACAGGGTGGGCCAAGATGCCTGCTCCCCTTACTGATTTCTCCCTGGCTCACTGCTCCAGTCATACGGGTGTCCTTGGGATTTTTCTTCCTCACCAAGTAGGTTCCAGCCTTAGGACCTTTGCTTCTCTCTTAGAATACTCCCAGACATCTGGATGCCTGGCTCCATTTTCCTTCAAGTATTGTGCAAATGTCACTTAAAGAGGCCTTCGCTATGTTTAAAATTGGGACATCCTCCTCCCTTGCCACGCTCCCCATCCTCCATTTTTCTCTGACACACAGGCTTTATGTTTTGCATTTTCTTGTGTTCATTGAATATGAACAAGAGCGTTGGGTTTTATTTCACCTCCAGCGCTGAGGACAGTGCATGGAGCGTTCACTGCTATTTGTGGACTGGATGACAGTGAATGGAAAGTTGAGTTCGCACACGGCGTCATTCAGTGCCACGTTCGCGCGCTGACTTCACTTCCAGCAAGAGAGGCCCGGCCGCGGGAGGGTGGGGGCCCGCGCGGCGCCGTCGTCCTGGAAACGCTCCCGCTGCCTGGACGGCTCTTCAGCTCCCAGCGGCCCTCGCGGCTTCCGGTCGGCAGGATGGTGGCGCGCAGGAAGAAGCGTGCGGCGCGGGGCTGTGAAGCGGGGTTTCCGAGCCCGCCCGGCTACTCAGGTGGGGGCCAGCAGGACGGCGGGCCGGGGCACGGCCAGGTTTCGCGGGGGGCGGCGGTACCTAGCGGCCCCCAGGAGCGGCCGCGCGGTTGGACGGGAGCCCGGGGCCCCTGAGACCCACGCGGCGCCCCGCTCGTGCCCGGCTACGTTCTCCCGGGGCGCGAGTGCGGCCCTTCGGTGAAGCAGCCTCTGTCCTCACTCTCCCGCAGCGCGAACCGCGTCCATCTGCACCCCCCTCGCCCCCGCAGGGGAGCCCATCCACTTCTCACCACCTCTTTGCAGTTCCTGGCCCGGCCCGATCAGCCCCCACCGGGGAGCTCCTGACCGATGTGTCCCCCCGGGTGGTTCTCCTGCTTCTGTTCTCGCCCCTGCCTTGTTTTCCAACCCGGTGCCAGAATGTTTTCTAAAATTAGATTTAAAGCAGATCTTACCTCACACGCCCACTGTATTCCCAGACCAACTGAACTCCCTCCTGTGGTTTACAACTTGGCGCCTAGGACAAAACCCCAACTTATTTCTACCCACCGGCGTGGCCCCACGTGTCCCTGGCTCGTGCTGACCTAAAGCCCTATCTGTTTCTCTGAGGCAACAAGCTCTTAACACTATCAGGGACTTTGCACTTGCTGTGCAAATTTCCTCAAACAGCTCTGCCGGGTGGCTTTAATGTTACCTCCCCAAAGGCCATTCTGATGGCCTATCTGAAGGTCTCTGTGTCTCTTTCACATTTGATAGAATCTTGGGACATGCTTACTTGTTCATAGCTGCCTTCCATTCCCAAGTGAGCTTCCTAAGTGCAGGAACTGCACCCCGTTCCCACTGTGCTCTGAAGGTCGTGAGAAAAACAGAACAGTCCCAAGTTTTATGAAGATTAAAATGTATGGGAACACCAGCCATTATCCAAATAATTACACAGCGTAGATTTAGAGGCCACTAGAGACGTTACCAAGGACAGCTGGTGGGTCTAACCTGGCATGTAAGGCTCTCCTGAAGAAGGGAAGTTAAAACCTCAAGAATGGTTGATGTTCCAGGTAAAGGGAAATGTGAGAACATGTGTGAGGCTGAAAGGCAGCCGGAGGTCACGGGCCTCCAGCCGCCTAAGGATTTGGGTGAGCAGCAGTGTGTGAGCATCCCACTCCGTTCACCCAGACCTGTAAGGATCGCTGTTTCTGTTCTCTGCCCTGCCGGCTTGCAGGCCCCTCCTGGCAGATGCTCCGTGCTCACTCACACAGCCTACACAGCACCCTCCTTTGCTCCTGCCTGGGGGAATGGCTCTGGTTTGGATGGATGGCTGGACAGATGGGACTAGAAAGGGACAGGCTGAACCTGGCTCACAGTCCATCCTCGTCCCCATTTCCCTTCCAGCCATTCCAATCAAGTTCTCTGAAAAGCAGCACACTTGTCATTACCTCTATGTGAGAGAGCACAGAGTTCGAGAAGGCACCAAGTCTTCCTGGCCTCAGAGACGGACCCTTTTTATCCTCAATGTGCCTCCATACTGCACAGAGGTGAGGTGGTGTCTGGGAGGGAACCTGGAGGCTGGGGCTGGGGCTGGGGCTGGGGCCCCAGGCAGGGCTGGGTTCCCCCTGATGCTCACCAGATCCTTAACAATGTGATGGAAGCAGCTAACCGAAGCCCTAGGAGGGTATGTAGAGGTTGCCTTCATCTCTTGTGACAGGAAATTGGCTTTTTAAAGATGTGTTCCAAAGAGTATAACTCTAAGGAGCTCAAAGCTCATTATTACCCAGAATTGTTTGAAGTACATGTTTTTCCGTTTATGAAGAAGATACATGTCCATAGTAAGAAATGGGGAAAGTACAAGAAAATGTAATTACCTTGAAGTCTAATCTCCAGTTATATGTTAATTTTCTTAAACAAAAAACTGTTCAATTTTACATTACTCAAACTTACACAAGAGAAACTAATTGCTGGATTGTGGGTGAATTGTTTTAATTCTAATGCAGTTAAAGACAAAGATGCACTAAGAGGAGACAGTGTCATTTTTAATCTTTACTGAAGTGTGATGTATGTACAGAGAAGGGATGGGCCACAGCGCACATTTGCAGCATTTCACAAACGGAACTTGCCTGTGTAATCAGCACAGAAACATCACCCCAGAAATCCCCTCAGGCCCCTCCCCCACTGGGGTTACCACTGTCCACGCTGATTACAACAGCATAGATTTAACTGTTTCTAAGCGGCTAATTCAGATAGAATAGCTTAGCTGGTTGTCTCATAAAGTCAGTATACTCAGCATAAAACCAGGAACGTCCCCACCTCTTCTTGTAATGAGCCTAATCCCTACTGTTGATACCAGTACCTCAGTGTGATTGACAGGGAAAGACTGATCCTTCAGTCAGATGGCCTTACTGAGAAGTCCCGTGAGGAACAAAGCAGACATACCCTGGGCATATGCTTCCAGCAGGGTCTTGTCCTAGAGCCTGAATTCTTAAAGCTTACACCAGAATTATAGCTCACACTCCAGCTCCTCCTTCCCAAGTCCTCTGGCCAGGGGAGATGTGGCAAAACGCCACCGTTCTGAAGATGAAAACTTCACCAGGTGGTTGTCTCAGGCCTCGGGAGTGTGGGGCGGTGACTGTTGGGAAGGATGTAGCTCGCCCAGGCCTTGTGCGCTGGACACACGCCAGGGCGGGGGCTTGGTCTCCTGGCGGGGCCATCCTGGGCGGCCGCTCACAGCACACTTCCGTCCCTTGGGTAGGAGTGCCTGTCCCGCGTCCTCTCCCCCTGCGGCGCTGTCCAGGCTGTGGAGTTACAGGAGAAGCCGGACCTCGCTGAGAGCCCAAAGCAGCCAGAGTCAAAGTTTTTTCACCCTCAGCCCATTCCGGTAAGCCTCCGAGTACTGGGGTCCGCTGGAGTGGGCTAGGACTGTGCCCCAGGGAGGGGAAGGTGGTGCCGGGGGTGGCATTGGGACTTTCAGAGTGTCGCCTGTGGTCCTCAGTGGGCCTTTGCCGTGTGTGGCCAGAGGGGGGCTGTCAAGTCAGCAGAGCCTCAGCTCCTTTCCCCAGATTTGCCACATCCTTTGGCTTCCTGGCACTCTTCCCACTGTCCTCGGCTAAAGCTCCCAGACCATTCCCGCTCGCTGCCCTGAAATGCAGGGCACTCGCCCCCTGCTTTCCCTACCAAAGGCTGCTCTTCCTCAGGCCTGGGGGCCCTGATCATGTGCTTTGAGCCCACTCCTCCTGGTATAGTGGAGTTCGAACTAGTGTACAAATTAGTCAACAGCACCCAGACCGGGGCACGCACACTTTTCGCCAAGTCCCTCCTGTAACTGGAAGAAGGGTCCCAAGTGTCTCGTGTCTCCCTGGGGAAGGGTCACTTCTAGCAGAAGTTGGGTACCTTGGAGTGTGGCTGTCCCTCCTCTGGATTATGGATCACTGTCTGGTCATCTTGCTGTCCAGGAGCAGCCAGCACATGTCCCCTGGACCCATGACAAGTCAGGCTGAGGGCAGGTAGTGGCCCCTGTGTCAGGCATCGGGTGGTCGGGGGGATGGGAAGGCACCCGCACTTGACATCTCTCCCTCCCCCCAGGGGTTCCAGGTAGCCTACGTGGTGTTCCAGAAACCAGGTGGGGTGGCAGCTGCCTTGGCCCTGAAACACCCTCTGCTAGTCTCAACAGCGAGTCACCCTGTGAAGACCGGCATTCGCAGTCAGTACCGCGGTGGGCGCTGGCTTCCTTCCTGGGCCGTGAGTTGGTGGGGAAGCTTTGTGGGGGCACTTGCTTCTGCCGTTCACTTGCCCTGAGAGTGATGTGTGGGCGGCCTGAGCCTCTCACGCCAGGCTGGGGGTGGGCAGAGGGGAAGGCCCAGCTTGCCACCTCTAGAGTCGTCCCCACCTGCCGATCCTGGGCTGCGAGTCCCCATCTGTGCTGCTGTGTAAGAAGACCCCAGTTGGCCTGGCAGGTCCTGAGGCAGGGCCCCGGGTGTGGGGCTGAGGAAGCCCCGTTTCCCTCCCTCCTTCCCCCTCAGAATGGATCAGCAACTACACAGACGCAGTGCCGGACCCTGAGGCCCTGAGGGTGGAAGTAGACACATTCATGGAGGCCTACGACAAGAAGATAGCTGAGGTGGGGCTTCTGCGGGGGTGGCCCTGGGGAACATGGCGCTGCGGTGCTCTGGTGTGGCTCCCGGGGGGAGGCGGAGGCAGCCTGCCACCGTGGGGAGTCCAGGTTCCCGTTTTCCCTGCTGAGTCCTGGGTCACCTGGCTGGGTGATGTTACGTCCCCAAATGGTCTGTGGGGAATAGATGGCCTGAGGGAGGAGGCGGTGCTGGCACCTCTGTGCCACCCCCCCATCCCCACCAGACTTAGCCCCCAATGCTTCTGGGCTGGAGGGAGTGGCAGGTGCCCGGGGTGCTTAGGGTGGTGCTGGGAGCTCCTGAGGCCGCAGGGCGGGTCCAGGCCCCTGTGCACCTCCATCATGTTACAGGAGGAGGCCAAGGCCGAGGAGGAGGAAGGGGTCCCTGATGAGGAGGGCTGGGTGAAGGTGACTCGCCGGGGCCGGCGGCCGGTGCTCCCTCGGACAGAGGCCGCCAGCCTGCGGGTGCTGGAGAGGGAGAGACGGAAGCGCGCCCGCAAGGAGCTGCTCAACTTCTACGCCTGGCAACACCGCGAGACCAAGATGGAACGTAAGGGAGTGCCCGGAACCCGTGGTTTCTGGCTGCCACCAAGGCTTGTGGCCATTGCTGTCTCTCCAGCCAGAGCTGACCTGGGGACAGGGTGGGGGTGTCCTTGGGCCCAAACTTCACAAAAGGCTCTGGGGTTCGTATCCCCGCCTGGCAGCATCCCCGTGCGGAGGCAGCTGTGTGGCCCTGGGCTGCTGAGAGGCCGCAGAGGCACCAGGGTTGGAGGGCCGTTCCCAGCCGCCTGGTCTCCGGGCCTGCAGGACGGCTTCCCGGAGGGCCCGGGAGGGGTCCCGGCCCTGGCCTCTGCGAGGAGGCCTGCGCAGCCCCAGGTGCTCTTGCCTGCCGTGCTGTTCCGCCCACACCCCCATCTGCCTCTCCCTGCTCTTGTCCTTTCGGGTCACCCAACAGCAGCCCTCTCCCTGCCTCCTTCAGGCTCTGGGCCCCGCTGACCCATCTCACCTGGGCACTCAGTGACCAGACCTGCTGTCGGAATTCTGGGGCGCTCTGGGGTGGAGTGTCCCTTCACTTCTTGCTGGCGTCCTCCTCAGTCTGACTGCTGTGGGAAGGGGCTGGAGGAGGTGTCCCTGGGGTCTCCCAGCACCCCCAGAACTGCCTGCACGCCCCTTGGGCATGTGGGGTGGGGTGAGGGAGCAAGTGCCGTGGTGTCTCTGCCCTGTCACTGGTGAGACTCCCACGTGAACACCCGGCGTGCCGCGGGCCCTCTCCCCTGCGGCCTCCGCCCTCTGTTGGGCCCGCCGGCTAGTTCCCTTGCTTTGCAACATCCACGCCGGTACTGAAAGCAGAGGCCGGGAGGCGTGCTGAGCTCCCAGGCTGGGAATGGGCACTGCGGGGATGGGTCGCGCGGACTAGTGGGGACGGTGGGACACAGCACCCCCATAGGGGATGTTTTCTGATCCTGTTCTGTTTCCCCTTTTCCTCTCATACCCCAGACTTAGCACAGCTGCGTAAGAAGTTTGAGGAGGACAAGCAGAGGATTGAACTGATGCGGGCCCAACGCAAATTCCGACCCTACTGAGCCATGGTGGCCCAGGGCCCCCCGGAAGGGGCAGTGGCAGTGTGTGGCCAGAGAGGACAAGAGGGCCTGGAACATTCATCCCAGACTGTGCCCAGGCCAAGGGAGCCCACGTGAGGTGAAGGACAGAGTCGCCCCTATTCTTGTGCCTCTGTAGTCCTGGGTCTGGTGCCGGCGAGGCCTGCCGGCCTGGGGGCTTGGCCCTTGGGAAGCGGCTCTTCCCTCTCCTGGTCTCTTCCCAACCCGGACTGTCCATTCAAGGCCAAGTTCCTGCTGTATTTTCCCCCTTTCCCTCAGGGGAGAAGCCCCCACTGCCATGAAACGGCATCAAAAGTTGTGAGAGTACAATGTTTGATTTTTCATCCATTTGGGTAGCAAGAAAAGGTTACAGAAGCTGCTGGGCTGCAGGCCTATCCCGGCTCCTCCCTCCTCCCATCTGCTGCCTGGTCTCTGCAGATTATCAGCCACAAAACAGCCCCCCAAATCTGGACTGTCTCCCTTTGAAGTCTCAGATGTTAAAGTGAGAATCTTGTGCCCACCCCGTCCCCAGCTCTGCTCCGAGAGTCCGCCTCAGCCCAGCCGGCCTTCAGGAACATGAGGCCTGTTCCCGCCATGCCAGGCCTGGCTTAGGGCTTGGGAGCAGCATGAAGTCTCAGGCCCGGGGCTCTGGCTCGTCTGGAGTCTTCTCCCTGCCCCGTAGAAAGGAGCTGATGAGGCCGGCCACGAGCTGGGGTTGGTTCAAGTGGATGTAGTGATTGCCAGGGACCTCCACGAACTGGAACCGCTAGAGGAGGAGGGGCTGTGCGTGAGGTGTGGCCCTGAGGAGGTAGCTCTGGTGCCCTCTGCTGTGTTGGGGCTTTCCCAGCGGCTCGGAAGTGTCCCAGGTGGGTGAGCCCCAGGGCAGTGACCAACCCGCATCTCCGAGGGCACCCGTGCCATGTGGCAAGTTGAGGTCCGGCACTGAGCCAATGAGAAAGGCCTGACGAGGGAAGTGCCCGGACCCAGGGTTCTGGGCCCTTCTGAGTTGTGAGGCCACAGCAAGGCTGGGGGTTGGGATGCTGTGAGTTCTGGTAGTGATAGAAGCTTGGCTTGAAAAGAAGTGAGCAGCCTTTCCAGCTGGACCCTGCCTGGGAGAGAGGCTGGAAAGGACAGGTGGGCTTCCCCTGCCCGCTGCGGCCAGGATGTCTGCAGAGGTTCGGGGTCGGGAGTTTGTAGTGGACGATGGTCACGAAGTGGCAGTGCTCCCAGGGACAAAGTCACTGCCCTGCAGCCAGCACACACTGTTGGGACTGGTCTTTGGCTCCTGTTCAGGACCCTAGGAAGTTGTGAGTCTGCCTGTGCCCGGGTTAGGCTTGGCCTGGAGATAGGTGAGGACAGTCAGAGATCCTGCCAGTTATAAGTGTTCTGTGCTGATTTATGTGTGACCCCAGTGGGGGGTGGGGGTGGGGGCGTCTGCAGTCACCTTTTAGACCTGGAGCTAGGTCAGGTGGGGTCCCAGTGCAAGAAAAATGGGTGAGGTGGGGTCCAGGGTGGCCTAATGCACCCTCCTGGACTGCATGTGCCATGAGCCTGGTGCCTACCTCTTTTAGGACAGATTTCAGCATGCTGTTCAATAAAAGAACGAAATCCCTGTCAGCGTCATTCTCTCTTCTCACATCATTATATCCTTGAGTTGCTCTGGAAAATGAGAAGAAATCAAGGTTCGTCTTGGGACTGCCTCCCTGCAGGGCCCTCCACCTTGCCCTGGGTTCCGGGACGAGGAGCGGGCTGGGGTTCTCTCTGACTGTCCCACTGCTGGGTCCCTGTGAGCCCAGGAGGTTTAATTCAAGATTGGGTCACTCAGTGCCCGTTAGGCCAGCACGAACTGGGATTGAGGAACCACAGAGGCACCGACTGGCAGAGCCAGGATCTGAATGGCACTAGGGCCCATGCTTTCTTAACGTCACCCATTTAAAGCATTACAGCTCTGTAGCTTTTAGTGTATTCAGAGTTGTACGTCCACCACTACAATCAGTTTTAGCACATTTTCATCACCTAAAAAAAAATCCCACACTTGAAGGAGTTTTCGCACTCACATAGCTCTCAGTCTTCCATTAACCAACTTCCTGTCTAGATCTCCCTACCTGGACCTGCATGTGAATTGGAATCATAATGTGAACTTTGGGGACTGGCTTTTTTTTTTTTTTTTTTTTTTTACATTTGGCCAAAAGGAGGTTTAATGTAACCAAATGAAAGAGGGAAACAGACAGAAAAGAGGTTGAGGAAGCAAGCAAAGCCCTGTAGAGAAAGGAGGAAAGAAAGGTCAAGGAAAAAGGAGGAAAAGAAAAGAATGTGAATGATGGAGCCAGAAAGGAGAAGAGCGAACACCCTCTGGGGGGAAAGAATAGAGGCAGAGAAGTAAGGATTGGAGGGGTGGGGAAAACTTACCTGCTAAGTTGGGGGTTTTTTTCTTTTTTTTGTATCATTAATATATAATCACATGAGCAACATTATAGTTACTAGATTCCCCCCATTATCAAGTCCCCCCCACATACCCCATTACAGTCAATGTCCATCAGTGTAGTAAGATGCTATGGTCACTACTTGTCTTCTCTGTGCTATCCTGCCTTCCCCGTGCCCCGCCCACCACAGTACAAGTGCTAATTGTAATGCCCCTTATCCCCCTTCTCCCTCCCTACCTACTCCCCCCAATCCCTTTCCCTTTGGCAACTGTTAGGACTAACAGTTTGTGGGTCCTGTGAGTCTGCTGCTGTTTTGTTCCTTCAGTTTTTGCTTTGTTCTTATGCTCCACAGATGAGTGAAATCATTTGATACTTGTCTTTCTCCGCCTGGCTTATTTCGCTGAGCATAATACCCTCTAGCTCCATCCATGTTGTTGCAAATGGTAGGATTTGTTTTCTTATAGCTGAATAATACTCCATTGTGTATATGTACCACATCTTTATCCATTCATCTACTGATGGACACTTACATTACTTCCATATCTTGGCTATTATAAATAATGCTGCGATAAACGGGTGCATGTGTCTTTTTGAATCTGAGAACTAGAATGGGTAAATTCCAAGGAGTGGGATTCCCGGATCAAATGGTATTTCTATTTTTAGCTTTTTGAGGAACTCCATATTGTTTTCCACAATGGTTGAACTAATTTACATTCCCACCAGCAGTGTAGGAGGGTTTCCCTTTCTCTGCATCCTCGCCAGAATTTATTGTTCCTTGTCTTTTGGATGTTGGCCATCCTACCTGGTATGAGGTGATAACTCATTGTGGTTTTAATTTGCATTTCCCTGATAATTAGTGATGTGCAGCATCTTTTCCTGTGCCTGTTGCCCATCTGAGTTTCTTCTTTGGAGAAATGCCTGTTCATATCCTCCCCCCATTATTTAATAGGGTGATTTGCTCTTTGGGTGTTGAGGCATGTGAGTTCTTTACATATTTTGGATGTTAACCCCTTGTAGGATATGTCATTTACAAATATATTCTCCCATACTGTAGGATGCCTTTTTGTTCTGCTGATAGTGTCCTTTGCTGTACAGAAGCTTTTTAACATGACATAGTCCCACTTGTTCATTTTTTATTTCCCTTGCCCAAGGAGAAGCGTTCAGGAAAAAGTTGCTCATGTTTATATTCAAGAGATTTTTGCCTGTGTTTTTTTCTAAGGGTTTTCTGGTTTCATTATTTACATTCAGGTCTTTGATCCATTTTGAGTTTGCTTTTGTGTATGGAGTTAGAATATCATCCAGTTTCATTCTCTTGCATGTAGCCGTCCAGTTTTGCCAATACCAGCTGTTGAAGAGGCTATCATTTCCCCATTGTATGTTCATGGCTCCTTTATCATTTATCAATTGACCATATATGCTTGGGTTTATATCTGGGCTCTCTAGTCTGTTCCACTGGTCTATGGGTCTGTTCTTGTGCCCATACCAAATTGTCTTGATTACTGTGGCTTTGTAGTAGAGCTTGAAGTCAGGGAGCTTAATTCCCCCTGCTTTATTCTTCCTTCTCAGGATTGCTTTGGCTATTTGGGGTCTTTTGTGGTTCCATATGAATTTTAGAACTATTTGCTCTACTTTGTTGAAGAATGCTGTTGGTATTTTGATAGGAATTGCATTGAATCTATAGATTGCTTTAGGCAGGAGGGCCATTTTGACAATATTAATTCTTCCTAGCCATGAGCACGGGATGTGTTCCCATGTATTGGTATCTTCTTTAATTTCTCTCATGAGTGTCTTGTAGTTTTCAGAGTATAGGTCTTTCACTTCCTTGGTTAGGTTTATTCCTTGGTATTTTATTCTTTTTGATGCAGTTGTGAATGGAATTGCTTTCCTGATTTCTCTTTCTGCTAGTTCATTGTTTGTGTATAGTAATGTAACAGATTTATGGGTATTAATTTTGTATTCTACAACTTTGCTGAATTCAGATATTAGATCTAGTAGTTTGGGAGTGGATTCTTTAGGGTTTTTTATGTACAATATCATGATGTCATCTGTAAACAAAGACAGTTTAACTTCTTCCTTGCCAATCTGGATGCCTTTTATTTCTTTGTGTGGTCTGATTGCCGTGGCTAGGACCTCCAGGACTATGTTGAATAAAACTGGGGAGAGTGGGCATCCTTGTCTTGTTCCTGATCTTAAAGGAAAAGTTTTCAGCTTCTTGCTGCTAAGTATAATGTTGGCTGTGGGTTTGTCATATATGGCCTTTATTATGTTGAGATACTTGCCCTGTATACCCATTTTGTTGAGAGTTTTTTATAATGAATGGATTTTGAATTTTGTCAAATGGGGACTGGCTGTTTTTCACTGAAAAGATGTTTTCAAGCTTCATCCCTATTATAGCCTGAGTAAGAGCTTCATTCCTTTTTATGGCTAAAAAGTAACCTATTGTGTGCCCAACCATATCTTACTTATCGTCAATGGACATTTCGGTCATCTCCACCTTTGGGCTCTGATGACTGACGTTGCTGTGAGCCACAGTGGCCACGCTGGGTATATACCAGGAGTGGAACTGTTGGTCATATGGTCATGGTAATTTAATGGCTTGAGGAGCTAACAGACTCTTGCACAGTGGCCACCCCGTTCCAGCTCCACAACAGTGTGTGAGGCTCCAGCTCTTCTGCGTCCTGGCTGATGCTTGGTGTCCTCCTTTGGAGTCCAGCCGTCCTAGCGGGTGTGCGCTGTAGCTCACTGTGGTTTGGCTTTGCATCTGGGTCCATGCTTTCTCCACCCCTGCGCTTGGCCACGGGGATGTGGCCCCAGACGACACAGTTCCTGCCTTGGACATGTGGCCCAGGATGGCTCAGTGGAATGGAGAGTGGCCTTTAAGCCACCTGAAAGGGTTTTTACTGCTTTGCACCCTGAGGTGGTCGGCTTGCTCCTGGCTGGGTGCTAGTGGTGGAGAACAGCAAGGCCATGAGGGGCCTCAGGTGGCTGGAGGACTTGTTGGCGCACAGGCCAGACCAAGATGTGTGCCAGTCTCTGCCTTACTGAGGTGTGCCCTCCACAGACACCCACTGCCATCCTGGTGGCCCATCCCCTGCTGCCCAAGCCCTCCCCTCGCTTTGCCTGCCTTCCATACACCGCTGCCCAGGGCTCCCCAAGAAGGAAGGCAGCACAGAACCGGGAACCTCACGGCAGGGAGACCTGGAGGTTCCTGGCCCTCGCATCTCCCCTTGGGGGCTTGGTTCAGACTTACTTGATGAGCAGGACGTGGGCCTGTAGCTTCCTGATGGCGTGCACAAACATCTCCCTGCTGATGAACTCCAGGCAGTACTGCGGCTGCAGAGACAAGGCATGCACACGCTCACCTCCAGGCAGCGCTGCGGCTGCAGAGACAGACCATGCACACGCTCGCCTCCAGGCAGCGCTGCGGCTGCAGAGACAGACCATGCACACGCTCGCCTCCAGGCAGCGCTGTGGCTGTGACGCCGGTCTGTCGGGTAGGGGAGCCTGTCGGCACCTCAGCCATCTGCTCAGGACCAAGCCCAACCACACTGCCTCCTTGACAGTCCTCTAACTCCCACAGGCCAGAGACTCTTTTTACCCCTAAATCTATTCTCTCTCAGTTCATGGCTGCCCAGCAGATGTTTCCCAGACGCACTTACAGTCAGTGTGGGCCCCATCTCCCCTCAGCCCTCACACCCTCCATCAGGAGCCCCCCCCGGTAGATGCACTGATCGGCCTCCAAGCCCTTACCTGTGCTCTAGCAAGCACCTGGGATGTCTGTCCCTTCTCCGCCACCTCAGTCCCACCACTCAGCCCAGAGAGCCAATCCCTCCTCTAAAAAACTCCTCTGACCACCCCCTACCCTCCCAGCATGCCTCCTGGGACTCCTGCCACCCTGCCCTTCCTGTCAATCCGTTTAAGCATTTGCAACCAACTAAGTGAAAACCCAAACAAAACCCAAAAGGCCTAAACTGAGAGTCCATGTCTGTCCCTGGACACACATGAAAACCCTGGTGGGACCCCAAGCGTGCCCATGACACGGCTGACAGTGGGCCTTGAAATCTGGGTTTGTCTGCACATCAGTAGTGCTGTTCTCATTTGTCTCGTGGCCATGAGCCCTCAGCCCTGTGCCATGACTGGGCATTTGCAGGCTGTCTTGACTCAGTTCCTCGTCTGTAAAGTGCCGGTGACAGCATTCCTACCTCAAGGGCCAAGCGGGGGTGACCCAGCACGCGGGAGGCTCTGGGAAGGCAGAAGAGGGGTCCCTGCGCCAGGCGCCAGCCACCCAGCCCCACATGGAACACTCCTGAGCTTCAGGAAGCTGCTGGCTGGTGGACCCTCCCCCTTACCCCCAGCCCCTGCCATAAGGAGACTGACTATTCAGAAGAGGCCTGCACTACTTCACACCTGGAATGGCTAAAATTTTTTAAATGGAAAAGAAGTGTCAGTGAGGATGTGGAGAAATTGGAACATGTGCATTGCTGGTGGGACTGTAAAATGTGCGGCTGCTGTGGAAAACTGTAGCGGTTTCTGGAAAGGGATTACGGGATGCGGCATTTCTACTCCTAGGCCACAGCCACAAGAACTGAGAGCAGGGACTTGAACCGGTGTTTACACCAGTGTTCACAGCAGCATTGTTCACAACAGCCAAAAGGTGGAAACAGCCCAAGTGTCCATAAATGGGTGAATGGTTTGTCCATACAATGGGCTATTTTTCAGCCATAAAAGGAATGAAATTCTGACACAGGCTACATACAACATGATGAACCTTGAAAACTACTTAAGTGAACTAAGCCAGACACAAAGGCCACAGATCACATGAATCCACTTATATGAAGTCCCTAGAGTGGTGAAGTTCATGGACACAGAATGGAATGGTGGTTGCCCGTGGCTGGTGGACGTGGGGGTGGGATTTTACTGGGGTTGATGAAAAATGTTTGGGTGGTGATGGTTGCACAAAATCATGACTGTACACAAAATCGCCACTGAATTGTACGCTTACGCTTGGCTTAAAAATGTTAAGAGTATGCTATGCATAGTTTACTACAATAAAAAGAGAAAAACAGGCCGACAGGCAAACTGCAAGGCACAGGAAGCCGCAGCACTCACCCAGGCGATCCTCCGGTCCCTGTTCAGCACCAGGCCTGCAAGGAAGCACAAGGGTGCGGCCTCAGTGCGCCTGGCAGGGCAGGGGACTCAGCTCAGCTTCCCTGGGGATCCCTGGACTGGGGGCCGCCCCCGACATCCTCTGGGGGTTCCGTGGAGCACAGCTTGTCCTCAGCCACCTGGCCACCGACCGGCTGCGGCCCACCCAGGGCCAGGGCAGCAGGAAGGTGGGAGCAGGGACTCTTCCTGGCAGTGGGCTCTCAGCTCTGAGAACCTTAAGGTGATCGTGCGGCTCTCAACTCCAGGGATCCAGCAGCTAAGAATCATGTTATCACTTGTCAAAGAGAAATGGATGGAGGAGAGACTGGAGGCACTGAGAGGCTGGGGAGGCCCCAGCCCCAGACCAAGCCACAGCCCCCGTGGTGGACAGCTCTGCCTCACCCAGGGAGGAGGGACACAGCAGTTCCATGCCTGGGTGGTGTCCCGTAGGGAACAGCTATGGGGGGGTCAGGGAGGGCACTGGAGGCTGCCTAACGTCGGCAACAGTGAGCCGTGGGGCGGTCATCCAGGGACCCTCTACCCTGGCAGACAGCTGCAGGCATCAAGTGGGAAGTCCCACAGACATGCCACCAAAGAGCAGTGGGGACGCTTCCTCCTTGCGCGTCTTTGCTGACCACCGCCTTCCCAGGGGGGCTCTCAGACCTCCCAGGCGACCTGGGGGCTCTCCACCCGCCTCTGATTTACTTCCTCTGTAAGCTCAGCACTTCTCATGCACGCTATCCTTTACTTTGCTGCTGCTTGGAGTTTGGTCTGTTATTCACAGCTGAACCCCCAGGAGTGAAAACAAAGCCTGCCACCCAGTCAGTACTCATCAACTGAATAAGCAGATGTTTATCTCTGGGTGCAGAGATGGGGTGACGGGGCTCACAGGAACTGATGCTGTTCTGTTGAAGCTGGGTGATGGGCACAAGGGGGTTACTCGTATCAGTGCTACCATTAGCATTGTTATTAAATGTACATATATGATATACCAAGATGGGTTTTTTTGGAACTAAACTACATGATACACTGATACTACAGTTCATACAGAAAAATAAACAAGCAAGAATAGCAGGAAAAGCCCTGAAAGGAGACTTTATGTCCCATAGATACTAAAACACACTGTGGGGCCTCAATAGCATAAACCATGTCATGCTGGGGACAGGTGGCCAGACCCATAGAAGGACAGAAGATCAGAGATAAACCCAAATACAGGCGGGCCGTCAGGGATGACGTGGCACCCCCTTACATCGGGGAGGACAAAGGTAGCCTTTCAACAAATGGCATTAGGCTACAGAGGAGCCATCAGGAAAAAGATAAATCTAGGCCCAAACCTCACCTTGAATGTGAACTAGACAAATACATAATGTGCAAATACTTAAACCCAAATAGTGTTAGAAACAAACATGAGCTTTTAAGTATGACTCAAAATGCAGAAGATAGGAAAAAGACATATTCAATTACATTAAAATTTCTGCATTGCAAGAAAAGAAAAACACACTTCAACAAATTCAAAAAGATAAATGACAACCTGGGGGAAAGTATCTGTAATTCAGTCTCCCTCAACATGTGAAGAGTTCCTAAGAATTGAGAAAAGAACAAAAACCCCATGGAAAGGTGAACAAGAAGACAGGAATGAACAGTTCTCAAAAAAAAAAAATACAAGAGCTCTTCATCCTTACCTTAAAAAGAAAACAAATTAGACCCCTGCTGAAATACAACTTCTCACCTATGAAATGAGCAAAATTCCAACTGTTGACAGTTGGGAACAGGGATCTCTCATCCATGACAGGCCAGGCTGCTAAGGGACAGCTCCAGAGGGCACCTGGCAATGCCTTCAAAACCCAGGGGTTTTACCCTTGCCAGGGGAGAAATGATAGTGTGGTTTGAATATGTGTGCGTGCTCAAGATCTGTAGGTTGTTAACACTTCTGCAAAGCCAGGAACACAGCTGTGCAATGCAGCTTTGCTTACAACAGCAGAAACTGGAACAACCAGTGTGTCTGGGTAGGGAACTGGTTAAACTAGCTTTGACATTCACCTGGGTGTGGCCTAATCTCCAGAGTCTACGGTAAGAAGTCATGGGGAGGCTGCAGAACCAGTTAGAGCAGACCGGTGGCTATTGCTGTTGTGTTACAGAGGGAGGTAAAGGCCTACATTTGCAGGTGCTTGTACTTAGCGAAGAAAACACTGGAAGGGTGTGGATGCACTTGTGAAGGGAATTTTCCAGGGGGTGGACTGGGAGCCTGTTGGATGGGAGTAGGATGATACCCAGCAAGACGTGCACATCTTTTTTATATTTTTGTCATTTTTAAACCATGTGATCCAGCACCTATTCAACAAAGGTGTTTTAAATTAAAAAACAAAACCAAAATGACAACTAGACCGGCATCTCTGCCCGGCCCTCTGGAAACGGCCCTGTGGGGAGAGGGGTGTCCATGAGGCCCTGGGGAGGGGCGCCCAGTCAGGTCTCCCACTGACACTGGAAAACAAAGTGGCTTCTGAGAAAACCATTGTGGGAACATTAAGAACTATTTTCTATAATTGTTAGGTTTCCCCATCTAACTAGAAATTCTGAACCTTTTGGATGATAAATGTAAACAATTAATTGTAGATAGAGGTTCTTAGGCATTTGTGACTCGGAATACTTTGAAGGACCGTGTAACCGGAAGAGTTTCTGGTCCCAGCGTTAGGGGACAGGGCCCCCGCTGCCCGTGCAGGACCCACCCGCCCCCGCCGGCTCGCTGCCCTCCTCCCTCCTCCCTGCAGACAGTGTCAGAGCGGAGCTGGGCTGTAGGCGTCCAGCCGGTGTGGAAGACCCGAGAGGGTGGGCAAAGCCCCCCGCTGAGTGTCGGAAGTGCTCTGCGTGGAAGCAAAGAGTCTCCCCCTCACACAGACCGAATCGTTCCCACACAGGCGCTGCTTTGGTCTCCCTTTCACCTCCTGAAACACCCCTGATCTGACAACCCCCCTCGGCCTCCCACCCCACTTCCAGATTGTTCCTGAACTGGACCCTGCCAGATCTCACTCCGGTGCCCACACCTGCAGTGGCGCCCCACCACCGTCAGGGCAGAGTCCCGATTGCTCGGCATGTCCACAGGGTCTTCCCCCAGGGCCCCCTCAAAGCCCCCGCTCAGGCTGCCAGCAGCTCCCCCACGCCTCTGTCGCCCTCCTCCCTGCCTCTGGCCCCTTGTGCTGCCCAGAACGACCTTCCCCTCATGGCGACTGCCCCCCCCCGTGCGCCCCCCAGGTAGGCACTTGACAACAGTCTACCCCGGGAATGAAGGAAGATAATCACAGAAAAGACATCTTCCAACGTGTTTTCTAGAGACTAGAGCATCCTCTTTTTACGAAATTGGGATGCTTGCACCTCAGGCTGAGAACCCCCAGGAATTAGATGAAGTCGCCCCTTTGACTTAGGAGACAGCTGGCCACACGAGACGCTCCCCTCTCTGCATCGGGGGTGGGGTGGGAGAGGGAGAATAATCCACCTTGAGACACTCCTGGTGTTTCCCTAAGGAAGGCATAGTTTTCAGGCCTACCCCTCAGGAGAGCTGTCCTACCGAGTCCTGGTGACCCCTTAAAAACCTTTAGCCAATAGCAGCAGGGAAGCAAAGAGCCAGCCCGACAGCACCCCGTCCCTGCCACCCTCAGCTTAGTGTGGACCAGGGTAGGGGCTTGCTTGGGTCTACGTGCCCACTACCTGCAGTTTGAAAGTGCAGATTCGATCATTTCCCCTGAACCTTCCCACCCTCCAGGTAAAACCCTCCAAGAGCTTCCCTTTTGTTTAAAAGAAAGCCACAGGCCCCCCAGTGAAATCATGTTAAGGCCCCAGCTGTCCTCAAACCAAGACTTACTACCTAATCTAAAGGCAGCTGTCTTTGCCGGCCTCCCTCACCTGCTTCGCTTTGCTCAAGTCACGCGCTCCGTGAGGCCGACCCAGACCTTTCTAGTTAAAGGAGCAAACCGCAAGCTCTGCCTCCCGTCCTGAGCCCCTCACCTACTTCTGCTCACCTAACGCCCTCTGAGAAGATGGTGGAGAAGGCCACCCGCAAGGACGCCTGAGGCCACCAGAAGCTGGGGAGAGGTGGGGACAGAATGGGTCGCACAGCCTGCCAACGTTTTCATCTTGAGCTTCTGGCCTCTAAAACCGTGAGAGAATAAATGTCTGTTGCTGAAGCCACCCATTTGCGGGACTGTGTCAGGGCAGAGCCAGGAAACTCATAGATTGGGGAGGGATTAGGCCGGGTAGTGGAGGGGCCCTGCCCCGGAATGGAATGGGGGCTGCCAGGGGGTGTGGGGCCCGAGGGAAGGGACTCTGGGGGGCTGGAACACTGGTGCCCTGACGTCACCACCCCACCCAGCAGGGTCTGAGAGCCTAGTCGGTCTGCTTTAGGTCACCCTGGGCCTCAGAGGCCACGTCTGGCGCAATGATACAGCCACTGCCGGCTCCCACAGCAGCCCTCCCCCCGCTCCCCACCACCCTTGACAACTTGAGGTTCAGCGTCTGAGCTCACCATTTTCTGTGACCTGGCCTGGCCTAATCGGCTTCCCCAGCCCAGCCAGGAGCATGTCTTATTCCGGCTTAGCCTGCTTCTGTGCTGGGGCCCCTCTGAGCCGGCCATCTGGGTGGGCACACTGGGGAAGCCTGGGCCACCGCCCTCTCCCCTACCTCCCTTCTCCATGACAGATTTGTAGGGAGCGGCAGGCTTAGGTTCAGAGGTGAGTACTAAGACAATCCCCCAAAACAGGTCAGATTGGTAGTCTATAGTCAGAACATCCCCTAAGTATAATCTATTTGAATTTACGGTGTGTTGGCAATTTCTGGGGGAAAAATTGTTTTTTGGGAAAAAAGTTGTGACACAGAAGATCTCTGACTTCTGCTGAGCAACTAGAAATTTTTGGCCATGCTAGACCTGGGTCGCCCCGTGGTAACCAGGGCACGGCATCGCCAGTACCACAGGCCCCACCACTCCCTACTGCCTTACCCCTACAACTTGCTCAGCAACCACAGGTACTTGGGTTCTTGACCCTCCTCACTGAGTACTTCATGGACATAAGTTACATTCAGCATGTTGCTTGATCCTATCAGCCCATGAGCACAAAAATCCCAAGACCTTTTGGCACCCGAGGACACGAGGGGACTTGCCCAAGATCTCTGAGCCAGCAGAGTTGGGAATCCAGCCAGTCTGTGCCCAGTTTGATGCATGGCCCATCTTACCACACTGCCTCCCCCAGGCTTTTACCTCCTGGGAGCTTGTTTCCAGACCCTTCTCTAGAGCAGGCCTGCCCCCAGGACTCTTTCAGAGCACCCTGGACATTTTCTTTATCACACTTACAGGAAAATGTCTCTCGGTCTGTCCCTTTTCTTGTTCACTGTCCATTTCTCCTGCTAGAAAGCTAGTGCCCCGCCCGGCCTACTCTTGCTCGGCTCCGGGGGGTCATTGCCAGTGAGGACACTGGTGATGGCGCCCCCTGGAGTTGAGCTGCCAAAGGTTCTGGCCACCAGGAGGGCTGTCTGCCCTTGTTCAGTGACCTCACTGGGGGCTGGATACAGGGCCGATTCCTGATCATTCGTTTCTCCTGCTCTTAGTGGGGTGAGTACAGGGCAGCTGGACAATTACATGACAGGTGGTTTCCAAAGCCCTTAGTACCCCACCCAGCCCAGAGCAAGGAGTGCTAGAGCTCAGTCCTTCTCATTCCTAAGGTAGTGCCAATAAGCAACAGCTGTGGCCTGGGAGCCCTTACCTGTGGCCTCCTGCGTGGCTCCTCTCTGCAGGAGGAGTTTCCCACACTCCTCGCCCACATGACTATTGTTCTTCAGGAGCCTGGGTGAGACAGAAGGACGCTGAGGAGGGGAGGCCAGGCAGAAAGGAGAGGAGGGGAGAAGGCCACCCCCAGAGGGCACAGGCATGTCCTGGTGATGATCTCACCAGTGGAGGGGGGGGCTTTCACTCCTTTAGACAACAGCATTTATGGAGCCCTGACTACCAGGCAAGCTGCCAGGTGCTGAGGGTACAGATACACCAGCCCAGCCACCATGGTCTCCACCAAAGACCTGCAATCACCCACAAGGCTCAGCTGGGGGAGTCAGGGCAGCTTCTGGGGAAGTGCCAGCCAGCTGAGGGCAGAGCAGCGTGGGGAAGTTGGCAAGGTGCCTGGAGAGGGGTGCAGATAGAAGGAGCCACAGAGGGGAGAAAAGCTGTGGAAGGAGAGAGCACAGCAAGGGTGTGCGTGAATGTGCATGGGCACCTGAGAAGAAAGGGAGAGGGCAGAGACCCTGGGGGGCAGGGTCCTCTGGAAGGTGAGGCAAGGCTAGAGCGGGAGCAGGACAAAGGCGGCCAGGCCGGGGATCTGGGGAGTGTGGGGAAGCCGGATGCCCAGGGCCAGTGCAGAAACAGGCTTGCGGTGGGTTTGCAAATAGGAGGTGAAAGCTTCCTCGGTGCCCCCAGAGATTTGGTCTCTGGTAGGCCCTCCAGGCCACCCCTTCCCCACCTCGCCACACCCGGGCACCCACCCCTGCAGCATCTCCTCTGGGCTGACCACTTGCCAGGGCTTCTTGGAGGCCTCCACCTGCAGCATGTGCTCTATTGCTTTCCGCTTGTAGGTCAGCAAGTTGGAAATTTCCTGGGGATTGTTGGTCACTAGGTGGGCAGGGCTGCCTGGCTGCAGAGAGGCCAGCCCCTCCCCGGCCTCCCCCCACCACCCTCAGCAGCCCCTCAGCCGCGGCCCCTCCTAGCTGAGCGGGAGCGGGATCAGCCCTGTGAGCGGGAGTCCAGCTGAGTCCCAGGCAGCCCTGCCCTGCCTGAGGCCCTCTGGGGTCGGCTGGAGGGATCAGATTGGATGGCTGAGGGCAAAGAAATCTGTCAACTGCCAAGGGCTCTGCAAGGTTCGATATTAGGGTCCGTAAGTCATAAACCATCTGGGGTTGGCAATATCACCTGGTTTAATGAATGCTACCACTCCACATGGTGGAGAGGAGGCTGGCAGAGGGGCTGCTCCCCAGAGCCTTCCTGACCCCTCCCTCAAGCGCACCCATTTCCGGCCCAGCTCACTCTGAGTGGCCTGGCTCTGACCCTGGCTCCCTGCCTGGAGCAGCAGTGGAGAGCAGCACCCCATCCATCTCCCCAAGAATGCTGGCCGGGGAGGACCACACACTCAGACCCCCCAGGAGGAAGACTCTGGGGGCGCTGTTTGTCAGCTCAGTGCGGGGAGCAGGTAAAGAAGGCAGTGCAGCCCCCCAGACTCATGGGATGCTCCCCTTAACCCGTGAGCTATTGCTCATGCAGGGAACATTTGCTGAGCACTTACTCCTTGGGGGGCATGGGGCATGTGAAGATAAAGAGACAGCCGTGGTTCTTGCCTTTATGGAGTTTGTGGTCATTTGACAGACAAGAAACGAGCTGATGAAGGAGCTATGTCACAACGAAAAGGCTGAGCCCCCGGGGACAGAGCGACGAACCGACAGAGCTGGCAAGGCCAACCTCGTTATTTCACGAGTAAGCAAACTGACACACAGAGAGGTGAAGTTGCTTGCCCAGGGTCACACAGCAGATAAATGGCAGAGGCCAGACTCAGATGTGGGGCTAGCTCTGGTTGATGTCATTGGTGGTGGTGGTGGGAGGAGTCACAGCATTCTGCTGACCCACACTCAGGGCCACCGTGTGCGGTTGTGCAATGTGTACACAGCACAAAGGCTTCAACTAAGCATGAGCTCAGGTGGGCCTGCCAGGCTGTGTGTCCCCCCACTGCTTCCTCAACCCACAGTTCCTACCCTCTCCCACCCCACCCCTGCCACTTTGTGATCAACCTGGCATCCAAGGATGAAAAAGGGCCCTGCACCCCTTTCCCTGCACACTTTTAAGGGCATAAACGGCATAACCCTGCCCTCTGGGGGGGCCCCAGTTCCCCCTGGCCTGCCTTCTGACACCTCCTCCCTGCTCCCTGTCCACTACAGAGAGAGGGCAGCAGGCACACCTGGGCCCCGGGTCCCCTCGACAGCACACCCAAAGGCCCCGTTCTTACTTTAGAGTCCAGGGTTAGTGGGGATGAGTCCAGCAGGATAAGTTTATCCACCATTTCAGGGAAGAGACAGGAAAACTGTGATGTGACACGAAAAGGGAAAATGAACAGGAGAGGGAAAAGGAAAAGGGACTCCAGGTTTCCCTGGGGACACTTTCAGGAAGGGTTGTGACCGGGAGGTCAGGACTAAGAATGTTGTCCTTTCAGGGCACACGCCTCTCTCCTCACCCACAGTTCAAGACCAGATCAAGGTCTAAACACCGGTGGTGGCTGGACTCCAGGGTCTCTGTCCCAGGGGGAACAGGGAGGGTGAACCCCTCGACTGCAGCGCGTATCCACTGCCCCGCTGACCTCCCATGCCGATGCCGCCACTGTCGTGCATCCACAGACTGGCACCAGCCAATGACACTGGTGGCATGAGGAGGCTCTTCCTTCCCCGCTGACGTCCCCGGCCTCCTGCTCTCCCCACCCTACCTGGAGGAACACCCAAGGGGCCAGAGATGGTCACTGCAAGGCCGTCCACTTACCGTTCCGCCCACAATGCCACCTGGGGACAGAACAGTAGCCTGGCTGACATTCCCCAGCTCTCAAAATCCTGCACAACTTCCTCCAGGGCTGACGCGCCCCCGCCCAGGGCCCTGGGCCTCTCTCCCTCCGCTGGGCAGGGCTTTCTATTTGCTGTTAAACTTGAGCCTCCCTCCTTGGGGCCATATAGCCTCTTCATTAGATCTGATCACTCAAAAGGCTGCAGTGTCCTTGGCGAATTGGGAGACACACCTTTGGGGCCATATGTCCCTTGGGGGGGATTGTCTGAGGCCAAAGGCACAGTGACTCAAGGTCAGTGTCTACCAGGCCCTGTTGCGTTTAAGTGCAGGGGGAAGGTACCTGCGTAGGAGCTCCTCTCCTTCCTCGAGGCCCCTCCACCAAGCCCAGTCAGGTCCCAGCCAGAGTTACTCACCAAAACTGTGGCCCATGAGGGAAAAGCGATTCCATTTCATGGCTGAAAACACACGGAGCCAGGTCTAGGGGGGGCCAGCCTCCCCTCCCCCTTCCCGGCACCTGGGGCGCTGCGCTCAGGAAAGCAGCTCAGCAGGGCCCCAGCTCCACTTCTGGGGTGGGACCCCCAGGGGGCAGCGGGCTCTCCTTGGCAGCCCTCTCCAGGTTTCCCACTGAATTCCTGGAGGAACTGGGGCCAGACCCCAGGTCGCTGCCAGGCCAGTGGTGCTTCCTGGCTACCACACGCCACTCCAACGATGGGAGGGACATCCGGGCGCCCCTCAACACACACACACACTCTCTGTCTCTCTCTTTCCCCGCCTCTTACTCACCTGCTGTGACTCTTCGGATCTCACTCACAAAGTTTTGCTGGTAATATGGGAAACCTGGGCTGTAATGGGACGAGAGCCCATGACCCCCAAAATCCATGGCAACATACTGGAAGTCTGAGACAGAAAAAAGGGTAGGAGAAGGCGTCTAGAGCAGCTGTCCCCTCTTCTCCTCCCGCTGTCCCACCACCCCACCTCTCGGCTTCTCTTCGGCCCCAGCCCACCCTTTGGGAGAAGAGGGATGAGTCTGTCGAAGGAGTTGGCGTTGTCCAGCCAGCCGTGCAGGCAGAGAACTGGGAGGCCTTGCTGGGAGCCCCAGACTTTGGCGGCAATGTGGCCCCAGGGTACAGCCAGCTTCAGCTCAGAGAACAGACCTGAAAGACACCACCCCCCACATATTCATGAAGCCTGCCCTTTCTGAACCCCCTTATCTATGCTCCCTGTGTCCAGGGTACCTGCACTGCCCCCGGGGAGAGAGCTGGAGGTGGGTAGGCAATAGGTCAAGGAGGGAAAGATACCCCGGCCCCTCCAGGGGAACCTTGGGAGGGCTTCATGGCACAACTCTCTGAAATAGGTTGGGGGATTGGCTAGACCTGGGCTCTGCCACCTGCTGACTGTGTGACCTCGGGCAAGTCACAAAAACTCCTGAACATCGGTTTCCTTTTCTGTAACAATGGAGTAAGCAGAGCCATGACAACAGCCCACGCTTCCTAAGTGTTCACTGAGGGCCCATGGGGGAGTCCCTCGCCCCCCACAGTCTGGTAGTGGGATCACTGTCACCCTCCCTTGGCAGATTGGAAACCTGAGGTATAGGTCCATGCCTGAGGTCACCAGGGAGAACAGAGGCAGCGACCAGTTCACCCAGGCAGAGGACCCCTGCACCCCAGCCCTGCCCCCTGGCAGCAGCCCTCTCTAGAGCCCTCTGGTCAGGCTGGCCCCCTCCACCACCCAGTGCCAGCCTTTCCACCCCGCGTGCCCTCCAGTCAGGCTGGCACCTGCGTGTCCCCAGACCCCACGCGCCTGCTGCTCTAACTTGGAGCTCTGGGCACCGTGCAAGGCCACCAGCGGCCAGGTCCTGGGGCCCCCGCCGCTCCCGCTCTGCTCTCGCGGCTGCTACCCGTGAAAGGGTGGCCACACCCGGAGGTCCAAGGCTGTCCCTCCCAGCCAGGTCTAAGGGTCCCCGGGTGCGGCGTCCTCACCCATCCCTGAGCTCCCGCGGGCCCAGTACGGCCGTCACTCCATTGCCTTGAAGGCTCGCCAGGAGGAGGGACGCCCGAGTTCCGTCCCGCCCCTCTCCCTGCCCTCCGGAGGCCGGCTGGCTCCCGGGGGCGGCGGGGCGGCCCTCGGCTCTGCTGGGACACGTGCTCCCGGACGCCCCGCCTGCACCGCCGGGCAAGCGAGGAGCCCGCGGGCGGCGGCCAGACGCCCCCGCATGACACGTGGGTGGCGGGACCCCCAACCCCGGGCAGTCCCCCTGGCCGTGCCCATGCCCGCGGGACCGGGAGCCGCCACCCCGCGTCCCCGCCGGCCCACGCCCACGCCCGCCGGTGCTGTCATATACAGCGTGGTCCCTGAGGCAGGAGAACCCGAGCAAAGGCTGACCCCACAGTAAGGCTGCCAGATGTTTGCACCTCACCAGACCCGCTCGTTTGCATTCTGTGTGTGACAACATGCCTGCCTCCTTCCCTGTGGCCTTGAGGGATGAAGGGAGCACCCCCCTTTTGAATGTGTGTCAGTGTCAGTGTGAGAGATGAGAAATTGTATCAAAAGAGTGCTTGTAATTAGAATTTCTCTTTTTTATAAGTGGCCTTAATAATTTTTTTATGTAGTTAAGGACCATTTGCATTTTTAAATGTCCTTTCTCCACTATTCTGCTTTTTCCTAATTTCTTAGAGCCTTCAACTGTTAGATTAGTTCTTTGACAGGAGTTGCACATTTTTTCCCAAATGCTTGTCATTTGCCTTTTGAATTTATTTATTGCCGTAAGAGAAATTTTTAAAAAATTTTATGTAGTTAGATTGGTCACTCTTTTCTTATTTTACTCCTAGATTTTGGATCACTCCCCAAAAGGCCTTTGTCATTACATTTTGGGGTAGATGATTATGCAGCAAGATTATTGGAACAGCAAGGGCCCATGCATGAAAGGAGCTTGGAGAATTATTTGTTAAACGACTTAATAAATCAAAAAGTAATATGCAAACCTGGGAAAAGCAGTGCTCTTCGGTGTTGCGTTTTTCTCTGAGGCCCTTGGAGTCCGTGAGAGCGCTTTAGGTTGTCCTGAGGCTCCGGTGCGATGCTGTGCTCTCCCTACACAGTCTGGGTCAGGCTGGGCGGCGGGAGCTGCTGGTAACTCATTTTCAATCCCCTTGTGGGTCAGTTTCACAAAGAGAAAACTCTTAGATCACTATTATACACAAACACATACCCGGCAATGCCGGCACTAAGGGGCAAGGCATCGGGTCTGAGCAGATCCTCTTTGGACATAAATTCAGGAATCCTAGTGGTGAGGTGAGGGATGTGGGTGCTGCCAGAGCTCACTGGAACAGCGCTGGCTCAGCCTGACATGACTGAGGGGCTGGGGGTCTCAGCAGTCCAAAGGGGCGGAGGAGGACTTGAGGGGCTGGAGGTGGAGGGCAGAAATGTGGGCTCACTGTGGTGTTCCCCGTCCTGGTGCAGGTGGCTTCAGAGGGAACACTGTGCTTCAGGGCAGTGAGGGCCTGCTCCGAAGCTCTGATAAACCCTAAGGCCCCGTCCCAGGATGGTGGCGCAGCCTCCGCTGTGCTGCCACACGTGGTCAGAGCTCCCTGTCCTGCCATCCCCAGGCTGAGCTGACTGCCAGCCTGCCCTGTCCTAGAGTACAAGCACCCTCTGCCGGTCCAGCAGTTCTCTCCACCGCTCCCCTTTGGTGCTGGGCCTGACCAGTTTCCTTAGAGCTCTAAGGTGACTGACATGGTGGAAGGAAATGACAGCTCTAACTTCTTCCTAACAAACAAAAAACAAATAACTAGCAAGCCCCTTCTGAGAGCCCATGGGACACTGGGTTTTCACTTCATCTCAGACCTTTGAAGTCACAAAATAGTCCCCTTAAACCAACAGATCTTGATTCAATGAAACCAACTCTCTTCCCAAACTTATTCTTCCAGAGTTGATATTCAAGATCTGCCACCGCCTGCCAGGCTGGGATTTGCTTAACACTCGCTGCTGACGAGGGCCTCACAGAGCCCCTGGAGAGGGGCAAGAAGATGCTCTTTACCGTCAGTCTGGGGACATTTCAGTAATTCCCAGCAATGTTGGCCACCACTTCCCTCCCATTGTCTCAGGTTAGAAAGAGAAGCCACATGTTCTGTTTATCCCAGAATGTCTTAACTGGAGGGCGTCCTACAGTTCTCCTGTCCCCAAACCCTTAGGTTTTCCGATTCGCTGAAGAAGCATTTCCTGAGCAGGTGGTTTGCGTGAGATCATGTGCTGGGAACTGGAATAGAGACACAGGTCAGGCATCTCTGCCATTGGGTGGTCCGTGATGGCGGCAAGGACAAGAGGGCACCAATCAGGGAGATTCGGGAGGTAGAACAGGGAGGTTCGGGTTGGCTGACGAGCGGGGAGGAATCAGGAAGGGGGCCTCTGGGTGACGCCCAGGATTCTGGGCTGGATGACTGGGTGGCTCTGATGTGTGCTATCAGGATGAGACATGAGAAGGAGTGATTAGAGGCCAGAGGTAAGGTTCCCTGAGCCATTGCTACAGGGCGGTGCTCTCAGAAGCTGGAGGGGTGCGCTCCCAGAACTGTGGTGGCAGCACGGAGGGAGGAGCCCCTTCTGTATTCCCAGAGACCATCGAGTGCGCCCCCATCAGCTCTCAGCTGCTGCGTTAAGGGATACGTCAGTCTTCCTCTCTTTTATTGCTTCAGCCTTAGCTGCTGTGTTGACTTCTTACAATTAGTCATCTTGCATCTTTCTTACTTTGCTCCTCCTGCTGTGCCAGCATTGTCCTTATTGGAGTCCCTCTGTTGAAAACTGAAAAAACAGTGTGTCTATTTACTTAACTAGACACCAGTTGATACCATTACATAACCAGCTTGGCAAAAGTTAAAATCTGATAACACCAAGTAGTGGGTAGGATGTGGAGCAATTGAAACTCCTGGTGGGAGGTGTATACTGAGACGCTTTTAAAAAGAGTTTGGCATCAGTTATTAAAGTTGAAGATTGATACACTATGACCCTGCAATTCCACCTCTAGGTACAGAGCCTAGAAAAACTGGTGCACATGTGCATCGAGGTATAGGGTACAGGCAGTCTTACTTGGGAAAGTCAAAACCTGAGATCATCTAAATGCCGTCAATGAAGACATGGATAAACAAATTGTAGTATATGAATTTGATGGACAACAATATAGCCAGGACAAAAGAATGAATGCTGCACACATGGACATAGATGAGTATTATAAATATAATGTTAAGGGAAAGAAGCAAGACACAAAGGAGAATGACACCTTGTAAGGAGTTCAAAAACAGGAAAACCTAAAACCCAAATTGTGGTAGGCAGGGAAAAAGAGCCTCCCAAAGGTGTCTGGGTCCTGATG